AACGAAAGTGAATTTTACCATAAACAAAAATTTTACCAGCATCGGCGACAAAACCCAGATCACGTGATTGCGCATTTTATATTTGATACAATGTATGATTAATAATATCAGGTTCTTTTCTGTACAAAACTCCTAATATACGATTTTGCGAGGTTTTATACGATGAATTGCCAGACACACGCAGACTCGGTGACGTTCTTTGTCTGGCTCCATGCAGCGCAGACATCAGCGCAGATGGCGCCTCTCCAGCCGCTCTCCATGCTCCGTTAACTGCTCCATTTAATCCACATGAGTCGCTGTGTGATGAATAACAGACGCACATTATTCTGCAATTGCTGGGCCATCTCATATCGATATCACGAAGAAATGTACAGTACAGTTCTTTATCTAACAGTCTTTCTTCTTTTATTTAGCTACTGCACAGTCTTTATCACTTATCTTTATCTAACACTATCTTAGTTCTTTGGTTCTTTATCTTCTATAACAAAAGAAGGAACTGTAGAAAGATTTTGACGACATCTATTATAACCGAAGAAAATTCAGCAATTTGCCGTATTGAAAAAGATTTGGAGTTAATATTTTTATTGAATGTTTATGTGCTTACGGTTCGCTAGCAAAATTTTTATCAAAACATTGCACCAAAGCACAAAGTATTATGTAAACTCTATAATTTATCTTTTTTGGTTCGTCACAAAGCACGAAATTAAATTATGGAATTCATAGGCGTTGAAAATATAACAATATCCTACTAACATTTTTCAAAGTTTACTTGTGTATTTGATGCCATGGCATCGTCAAAGTTTAGCGGCTGAACGGACGCATATATATCCAGAATACTTAAAAAATCGGGAAATTACCAGGCCCTGAACTAAACATTGCAATAATGAAAAAATAATTGTGTGGCATTGCATAACTAGGATAAAAATATTTCATTGATAATTGAAATTTTATTTTTAAATTGTTACGTTTATAATTGATTTGGACGGGAAATAAAACGATTTTCGCATTTTGTAACAAGGGTTGAATGCAGGTTTCATGCTCTGTGCAAAATGTGAGTTTGATCAAGTCCTCCTATAATTTAATCATTAGCTTTGTTCTTATTATTAAACGAGATTCGGGAGAATGGGATTAAGAAATCGCAAAGGCAATCGATCCCGGCAATCGCCTGGTTAACCTGCCAATCTTGGAATTTACTTTATATATTTTTCCATATATGTTTTGGTCAATTATCAGGGACGCCAGATCACAAATTTCGTTGTGTGACGGTCAATCCATAATTTATATTCACAGTAAAGATTGTCATTGTTTGCTTTAGAGAAAATTTTTTTTATTCATCATTTCACAGCTAGATCTCTCGACTTGTTGTGTATGGTATTTCTTTTAACAAGAACAGGAAATAGAATAACTTTACATGGTTTTTCAGACTGACATAACAGGGAAGAAATTAAATAATATAAAAATTTTTACACAGGGCAGCAGTTTAACATTGTATAACTTGAATGTGTTCGATAAGCATAGGGCTGAGATAATTTTCTTCCGGTAGTTTAAAAATCTATATAGCCAACAATAGAACTCAAAAGTGAATTTTTGTCACAATGGTTATCATGCGACTAGCGACCACGAGCATATACTATATGTCAAAATGACCATTTTAGTGACCATCTCACAATCCAAGCACGGACCGAGGTCAATATGAGTTCGTGTGAATAGTTTTTTATGCAAATATTATAGTATGGAAGTGACGGAAGAAAAAAATCCACATTTACAAGTGAATCTGAGAAAAGTAATTTTCTCTGCTCAGTTTTGATAAATAGTCTCTTAGAAATTAATGATGTAGTCAATTTTTTGAGTCGTGAAAGCCGCGCGTTTGATGGGTTTGCTCTCATTTAGTTTCACAAAAGCGTTAACTATTCGTCAAGTTAATGTAATTCTAGAATCCAATTTTTTCTTAAATAATTTCAACAGCTATGAAACTAGCCATATGTATTTCACTTCCATGCTTAAGGTCTATGTTTGGTTAGCGCATTTTCTCATTTATGGAAAAAATGCACTATTGTGCTATTTGTGCTGCATGGCCATGTCCGTCCGTCTGTCTGTCCGTCCGTCCGTGACTTCGTGTTTTCGTCGACGAGAAAATGCGCGCTCTGTCACTCAATGCAGTGAGTACTGAGTTATATTTTTATTAATAATCTTCTTATTCATTTTTTCAAGTGATGCAAAACCTTCACTTGCTTGATGATGAAAATTGTACTTTCGAAACGTCGCAATCCATTAAAATATCATTTGGTATAACTTGCTTTTTGATCTCCCGGCGCCAGCAAGAAATTTCGTTCGACTCATTGAAAGAACGAATAAGAAGGTAAATAATAAAAAGCATGCTGTGGTCTTTCATCAAACTTGCATAAAAAAGCTTTTGCCGAATTACACCAACAAGCGGTATAGCGGATACAGACGAAAATTAAAAGTTAAAATCACCCAGAGAACAATTTCGAAGTCCTGACAAATCAGGCGGTTTGCAAATTTTTTATTATTATTAGTATATGCTCTATGAAACTCTGGTATCTGGTATGTCAGTTCTCATTTTATGTACATTATAAAAAAGAGTCAAATTTTGAAAAGTTGCTATAGCAGGTTTGAATAAGCCTTTTATCAAGTGGGAAATATAAATTCAAATTTTCGACAGTCGTTTTATTTTATTCGAAATCTCCGAATTATTTGATCTGTAGCTATGATACTCACGAAATGGCCATAAACCGCGACTCCTCTGACGAATTCAAAACGCGTCATCATTGAATTCGCAAAAAAGGAAAGCTGCTCAACTTTTTACCTACGGAATGGCATAGACATTACGGCAAGCCCGCATAGCGAGACGCGCTATACGTTTGAGAAAAAGCCGGGCAAGGCAGTAGATGCTCGTTTTACGGAGAAGATATGAACGTCACAACCTGCAGCTGGTAAGGATGTAAGCGACAACGACTGCAACACTGGGCTCGCAGCTGGGCCAGTGTTGCAGTCGTTGTCGCTTACATCCTTACCAGCTGCAGGTTGTGACGTTCATATCTTCTCCGTAAAACGAGCATCTACTGCCTTGCCCGGCTTTTTCTCAAACGTATAGCGCGTCTCGCTATGCGGGCTTGCCGTAATGTCTATGCCATTCCGTAGGTAAAAAGTTGAGCAGCTTTCCTTTTTTGCGAATTCAATGATGACGCGTTTTGAATTCGTCAGAGGAGTCGCGGTTTATGGCCATTTCGTGAGTATCATAGCTACAGATCAAATAATTCGGAGATTTCGAATAAAATAAAACGACTGTCGAGAATTTGAATTTATATTTCCCACTTGATAAAAGGCTTATTCAAACCTGCTATAGCAACTTTTCAAAATTTGACTCTTTTTTATAATGTACATAAAATGAGAACTGACATACNGTGCCCGAGGTGCAACAGGGTGCTGTCGGTCGCCAATATGGCGAGGCACCAGAGGGCGTGCCTGGTGTGGGACCCTGGGGGGGGGGCAAGTCCCTGACGGGGATCGACGGCCCGGAAATGGAAATGGATGAGTGAATTGAAGTTGACGACTCTTCATAGAAATAGCAATTTTGATTGTAACGTAAAAATTAGGAAAATTAGATCTGATAGAAAACCAATTATTATTTTCTAATTGATTGTTCATTAAATAACAAAATAAAACTGTTCATTTAGGCTCTTTAATAATAAATTTGTTCATTTGGGCTTTTTTATTATTATCACTTATTACGAAATGTTTCAGACAGAGTGCGAAATAATTGGTACCGGTAAACATTACTCGCTTGCAAAAGTGAAAAAATGTTAAAGCATATATTTCAATTTTAAAGGGCGTACAAGTTGCAGCTGCGTTTTAACGCTGATAAATGTAAAGAAATCCATACCTTGGCAAGAATAATGAACCGGTAATGAACCGGTCGAGGACCGGCCACGAGAGACAGCGGTTGACGAAAGTATTCGTCGCAGAGCGCTAAAACAGGCGGTGGTGACTCTGGCAATGTGACTGTTTAAAGAAAGTTCCGAGTCCCACAGAATGCCCAGGTTACTACCAGAAGACATAGGCATGAGGAACTCGTTGTCCACGCGAAAAGGGTTGGCCGAAAGCTGGTGCTGGCGTCAAGCAGTCGCAAACCACATAAAGTCGGATACTTTGAGCTAGAGCCGGTTGGAGCGCTTTCAGTGTGAGACGGCGTCCATGCAGATAGATAGCCGGTCCTGCAACGCGGTAGCGTCAGCCGGCGCACATTAACCATGAATTTGCGTGTCGTCGACGAACATATGCGGATTCAAACCATGTAAATCAATTGTGTCTAACACCGTAACACGTCGACAGCATATAACAGGAGAGGTCGTGAAATGATCCCTGTGACACGACGTAAGTGACCAACGATAGCCTAGAAGATGAGTTCCCGCGTCGAACGCATTGGAATCTATTGCTGAGATAGGGCTCGAGCCACCGTAGCACTATGCCGCGCAGGCCAAATGCTACGATACGTCAAGTCGATACAATAAAGTGGAATGGTCGACCGTATCAAACGCGGCCGACAGGGTGATTAAAGCCAGTGCCGCGATGTCGCCGCGGTCTACTACTCGCAGAATATCTGAAAGGACCTTCAGCCGGCACGGCATCCGCAATATGACATGCGAGGTGTCTCATGCTGACAATACAGGCCTCCAAAATAGGTGTAAGCTTTTGTTGTTGTGTCTTTTTTTTAATCTTGAATATTATGTATAGCAAACTAACTGGTTCTTTTGTAATTTTTTATTGGCAGCAGCTATGGATACACACGCAGCCATGCTCGCATAGCATGTAGCCATTGTGCTGTCTGTCAATGATACTGCTTGCAGTATAAGCACATTTATGCAATTAAAGTATTCTAATATGCACGCGCTTGTGTCAACAAATTATATAGTAAATAAATATCCTGCCACATTAAATGCCATTTTTGACGACGCGTGCCCTCCTGGCAACACATCATAGTAACACCACCATCTTCCTATTTGAGTATCAGCTGATGGATATTTGTAAACTGGCTTTCGGCCATAACTAGTAAGTAATATTAACAATTTGAAGCGAATCTGGAAGATCTAGTGAAGATTGGTGCAATATTATATATTTCGCAAACGATATTGTTCAACTGCCTGCACGGGTCCTGAGAACATATTCGATTGAAACCTACGGTACTCGGTAGGCCTGGACTGAGGACGGTGGCTCGTGGCTGGTCCAGGCTGGACCTCAGGCTCAGGACCGCTACGACCTACGAGCACTTAGCAATGTTTTGAAAGTAGGTACCTGCCCTGGAGACTGGAGTCTGAACGGACTGAACCGTCTGATTACTCTTGTGACACTTGACAGTGACGTGAAAGGTAAAAGTAAAGTCGAATCGTCCAAATGAATAATTATACCTGAATAATATGAGATTACATGAATAATTTGATCATGGAACATCCAATACTTTTCTTTCCCTTCAAATGTTACACTTGAATCAGTTGAATCTTGAATGAAGTTATGATGATGATGAATCTATCTGCTCGACTGTTGACACTTATATTAAATGGTGACTCATGGTCTGATGGTCATGGACATTGGACAGAAATTCACAGAAATATTGTTAGATGAATGTCAATATAATATTGTATGCCTAAAGCCTAATGCGAAAACTTGCAGAAATCTCCTGTGAATTGGGCAATAATGAATTTGAAGCTAGCTGCCTGGCCTATTTGAATATTTCACCCAATTGCCATTTTGTAATTTCTGTAATGAAAAATAAAAATTGCATAATTTTGCCCAGAATTTTAAAAAATCTTTTACTAGAGTTTTGGGAAACTTCTGACAATCTGACCTATTTTCCAAATTGGATTTGGCAAAAGTTTCATAAAAGCCAGTAAAAATTATTATGTAAACTTAAGTAGGGTAAACGCGGTATATTCCGACACATTAAGGACGCATCGAGAAATGAAAAACTATAAAAAATAAACCGTATGCATTACGTAAGTTCTGTTGCCTTCACCTGACTCTTAAAACACTTCACTACGCGTCAGCAACAATGAAACGTCACAAAATGTTGCCATATTTATTAAAAAGCCTTTAGAATGGAAACCTACCAAATCCCTATATTCCGTCACTGTGTGTGGCAATATTCAACACGTGGTGAGTCGTATTGCGTCAGCGCTTCAAATTTAACTGATACGTATTGCCGACATCCACGTAAACCATAATATTCTTCCTATAAAAACAGTTATTCACTATTTGGTAGAGCAAGGTCAACTGTCAAATTTGACACATTTTTCGATGATCTCACTAGGTGGCATGCATTGTCTCTCTTTGGATCTCAATATTTTCCCACTAGATGGCCAAGACCTAGTGTTTTGGCAGTAATTTGACGCGCAAATGTATGACGTCACCATTTCAACCATCAACAAACTCATGGAACTAAAACAAAGCTTAATATAAAGGAAAAGCTGGAGAGGTGACGGAATTACCCACAATGTCGGAATATACTGCGTTTACCCTAATTATGTAGACTTATTTGTAATGAAATCAAAAATTAATTTTGATTATTTTGACTTGGGACTCATTTTCAATAGTAGTAACTTATTTCATAATTCATTTTACATTTTAGCTGTCACCTCAGCTGTAAAATAGCATCAGAAGTTCAGAACGCAGCTAACCAGCCATTTCCTACTTGGTACTTCGAATTTTAAAGTAGGTTTTAATTGAATTTTATTGTGCAGATTGCAGACACCTTGTTGAACTTGCTGTGCTACTTTCACAATGCTCTCTCAATACCTACAGGAGTTGGAACAAGTAAGTGTTAATGCTGCCCATTGGAATTTGTGTTATTAGTAAAAATATGATGCATTTTTCTGACTTGGGCATGTATCTTGATTTGAGTAAGCAACTGTGCCATTGCATCATTCTGTATTCTTATACTCATTTCATATCTGAGTCCTAAATGTCTGCATTGCTGTACATCTCAATTCTGATTTTGTGCAAAAAATAGACTAAGCTGTATTATTTGTCTGTTTTTTTTTTTGCAGAACCCTTTTAATGCAGAAGAATTTGTGGAACGTCTAGCATGGCGATCAACATCTGGCAGCGGTGCCAACAAGTCTGCCTCCTCAGGCTCTTTCCAGCCAGAATTACTGGAGATGACCTTCACTCAAGCTATCAAGTGTGTTAAGATTTCTTACCATGAAAGATGCAGAACATGTATTATTGGTTGGAAGCATCACAATTTGCTGTTACTAGTTGTCCAGCTTATGTTGTAATTGCATTCATTATGTATATATATACCTAAATATATTTTTTGGGTATTACTTGGAAGCTTGGTTTCACAAACTTTGTTAATTATTTATTTCTGGTCTAAATTTTCAGAGCAGAACTTAAAATCTCCTTCCATGCTATTTAATTAAGCAGACAATGCAACTTGTTTTGATATCAAACTCATTTTTTCACTAGACAGTTTAAATTTAAAACTATAACCCCTTGCTAATTGTATCCTCATGCTTATCCTTATTGTGATTGACTGGACTTCTTGGTCCCAAACAAAAATAACAAAGTACAAATAGCATTGATGATGGTAAATGTATCTGGGACAAAAGAATTAAAGCATGCATGGGTGATAATCTGTAATTTGAACCTGAATTGAAGTTTGTTCTGCTCTATTCTTTTTCTTTGAAGTAGAGGGTAATGGCAGTATCATTCCTTTCCTAAATACATATTTGCAATCACCTCAAGGAATGATTGTTGTAGTTACAGATAGCACAATTATTTTCAAAGAGTTCTCCTGTCAATGAAATAAACTTTCAACAGTTGAAAAAAATATTGTCTTCCTGGAATTTTACAATTGTGTATCCTACTGAAGTTTGTGACAATCATTTCTAACAAATCTGCTAAAATTCAAGTTTTCCGTTGTGGTTGATGTTGCTTATTCAGTTCAAAAACATTAAACATGTCTTGCAAAAATATAAATTTAAACTTTGACTTTTGATTGGTTATTTACCATATTTTATTTAATAACGCTAAATCTTCTAAAATCCTTGCCCATTTAACTATATTAGTTGGTTGGTTATATAATTAATGATAATATAACTTTAATACAGAGATCTGGAGGTCCTGGGTGAGCGGATGGAGCGGAAATGTCAGAAGCTGGAGGAAGCCGTTGGGGAGGAGGAGCGACAGCATTGGCGGAATGTGGCCAGGCTCCTGGATGCCAATCTGGTAATGGTGCCTTATATTATATTAACACGTGGCCAACATATCAATTATCCATTATAAAATGAACTCATTTATTAGTGTTTTTGACATATTCAAAGGTTGTGTCACTGCCACAAATGGCGTTCAAAAAGCTACCAGGTTGCTATGGTATCTCTGCATCAGGTGGTGTTCAGTGAATGACCGCGGTTTGTCTTCCTGCCACAGGTGGCGTTCAGCCAGTTCCAGCAGCTGGATGGTCAGATGAATAGAGTAGCAGCTCGAGTGGTTCACCTGGGGGACCAGCTGGAGGCGGTAAACACCCCCAGGGCGCGGGCTGCTGAGGCATACACTCTCATGATGCACTTCGCCCACTACCTCACGCCTCCCGCGTCCCCCTCAGAAGGGGAAGATGATGTGGCTGTTAGAGGCCTTAAAGACATGGGAGGCACGGACAGTCCTGTCCTTGGAGAGACGCCCCAGCAGGTACTTTGCCTGCTTGTTTTCAGCACATCACGGCCTCAAATGACACCATTAAGACACTAAACGGATACCTACGGCAACCATGTTTGTGCAACATTACATACCTAACAACTAGAAAAAAATTCTAACACTCTGCTTACTGATTTATGGCTATTACACCATAATATGAAGGGCAACCTCTCATTGAAAGCTTCTCCATTGCCTCTAAATTCCTTTTATGTCTTAACGTACCTTCACCTTTGCAAAAAAAGAAACTCATTTAGCATGAGGAGGCTCCATAAAAATATTGATGCGCTTTTGTGCTCGTCAAAAAAAATGCGCTTTTGTGCTCATCATGTCCGTCCGTCCGTGACTAATTTGTTCGTCCGTGACTTCATAGAAAGATGAGGAAATGAGTTCTTTGTCACTCACTGCAGTGAGTACTGATCTATTTTTTCTCTCTGTTGGAAACAGCTTGACATGAACAATACACTAACAATAAAATCATGATGAAAGAAACTTCATCTATCGATATTGATTAAAAAATGAATAACAAACTATGAAAGAATGCGCTTCTTTGCTTTTTAATATAGACACTTGAAATTTTTTATTCTTTTTAATGGTTGCAGATTTCAGAATCTGCTGACGTCATCCAGAAGCTGTACCTCATATCTCAGGAGCTTCCTGCTGGCAAGTGAGTGACATTCGTGTGAATTCATGAGACATTTGTGGGAATGTTAGGATATTCGTGTGACATTCGTGTGAATGCTAACAGAACATTTGTGTGAATGCCAACAGGACATTTGTGTGACATTCATACATTCGTGTGAATTTATTATATATTCGAGTGAATGCTAAGAGGACATTCGTGTGAATGATAACATGACATTCATGTGGATAATAACATGACATTCATGTGAATGCTAACGGGACATTCGTGTAAATGCTGACAGGACATTCGTGCGAATGATAACAGGACATTTGTGTGAATGATAACAGGACATTCGTGTGAATGATAACAGGACATTCGTGTGAATGATAACAGGATATTCGTGTGAATGATAACAGTACTTTCGTGTGAATGATAACAGGACATTCGTGTGAATGATAACAGGACATTAGTGTGAATGATAACAGGACATTCGTGTGAAAGCTAACGGGACATTCGTGTGAATGCTAATGGGACATTCGTGTGAATGCTAACAGACAGATTCTTGTGAATCTGATCTGAAAATAATGATAGAATATTGGAAAATATTACTAGACGTCGATTNTCAAATTAAGTTGCTGTGTGCAGGTGGTGATGAGGGATGTGTTCGCGGACATTGTGCCACTGTGTGCAGGTGGTGATGAGGGATGTGTTCGCGGACATTGTGCCACTGTGTGCAGGTGGTGATGAGGGATGTGTTCACGGACATTGTGCCACTGTGTGCAGGTGGTGATGAGGGATGTGTTCGCGGACATTGTGCCGCTGTGTAGGCGAGCTCAGGACCTAATACAGAAGGTGTTCGCCGCTCCTGACGAAGTTATGACCAAGTTCGTCATCAATATTTACCAAGGCCAACTTAAGGTGAGACATTAAGCGTTCAATTAAGTTATCTTCTTCATTTTTAATGCAACTTTAAAACGGAAAGTGGGAAATTCGGATTAACCACGTAGATTTCTAATAATAATTTCATTGTGTTTCTATACGTGTATCGCCTGTCAAGTTGTATTTCTTTTTGCAGAGATTAGCAGGTACAATGTATTTTCATAGGTCATGTTCCATGATATAATTTATATAATATGAATTGTATTGAACTATGGATGTTATATGTAGTTATATGAGCTATGAATATGTTTAATATATTAGCTGGTTACATTAATACCAAGATATTTGTTACAATATTTTTCCTTCACTCAGCACCATTCATATGATCACGACTCTATTGTACAGCCTGGGGTAACTGGTAGGAACTGCGAGGTGGTGTTCCGTCACTCAAAAATCCTTATATTCTTCGTACCAATCGCTGTTATTACATTTCTCATCATTTATTTCACCAAGTTTGTGTTACGTTTTCCTTTTGGTGCTACAGTTTTCATCACTCCTTCATTTCCCCTCTCTCCTTCTGTCAGTCATCAGTGTGGCACACGGCTAACGATACTCAGCATTAAATATTAACACCTGAATTTTCTATCAGAAGAGATAATTTAACATTTTTAGCGGAAATAAATTTAGCCGGAGCTAATTGGTCCGCTAACGGTTTTCAAAGTTAGCTGAAAAGCTAATCCGAGAAGGTAAAAGTTAGCTTTGCTAATTAGCGGTTAGCGGATTAGCAGAACTGAGCCCACCATCGTTCCTAATCCTCTTTAACAATTATTTACCGTACATAAACAATGCTGCGTTTGACAGGAGTTCATCCAGAGTCGCCTGTCCCCCGGGGGGACGGTTGCCAGCTATGGGGAGGCCTACTTCACGAGCCTCTACGACCTGTACACCAAGACCCAGGCCTTGTCCCAGCAACTGCATTCCTTCAGCTTGGACCAGACACTCCTGCCCCAGCTTACTAAAGCCATCTTCCAAGCACATCTCCAGACCTACATCAGGTACTGCAGAATATCTCTCTCATGTTTTTTTTATTCTTTGCAAGCCGCAATTAACATCCAGGCGATGTTGAATTCTTAAATGACTATTTAACATCTTCCTTATGCAACATTGTTGAACCATGTGATATTCTACACATATTTCTGATGTTCCTGTTAAGGCACATCTTAAATCAGGTGCGCCTTGAAACATCGCGCCTGCTGCATGTACATTTATTACTTTATTTATACACGGTTGATTAAATACCAGATGTTGCGGACTATTCAGTGCTTTTCAGCGCAACTGTTGTCTATGGCAGGATTAATTGAATACGCGTGCATCCATGAGTTCGCTTGTGGTTTATATTCCCACAAGACATGGTTTCTGGAAAGAAACCGGTACAAATCAAAATTTATTCTAAGAAAAGGGGTTATTGAATTTATAGACAATATTCGAAAATATTCAAGTAAACTACAAAGGCTTACAAACAGAGAAATGATCAAACACGTGAACAAGGCTAGCCAAAATTCGTTCCTGATCTTAGTTCGGTCTGTACTCCGCAGCCAACAGATGACGAATGAACAAAAAGGTTTCGTAAGACCACAGAATTAAGCTACTATCCTAAGACAAATGTTGCGTTCACAACACCAGAGTATTTTTTTATTCTCATGTCTTCAATCAAACAGGCATAAATTAGTAAATTCTGCCAATCTATCTAATATTCTTACTTGATGTACATTTATTACTTTAGTCCGTCAAGTAACATAACATTCCTCTGGTGTTTTTGCAATTTGATATCCTACTTAACATCCAACATAACATCACTTTGATGTTGTTGGAATACTTGATATCCCACATAACATAACTTTAATGTTATTATTCTCTGCAAACCGTAATCAACATCCGTGTGATGTTGAATTCAATGACTATTTAACATCATCCTGATGCAACATTCCTGAACTATGTGATATCCAACTCGTCTCCCTGATGTTGCTGTACCCTTCAAAGCCATCCATCTGTTGAACATGACGAGGTGTAGTATGTGTTGGCTGAAAGCGTAAATAAATTGCAAGGGCTTATTACTGGGACTCCAACTGAACATTAATATTATTACTTTGATGAGTGGGAATCATTACTTAGCTATTGAGTGAGCATTAATATTTAGAAATTAAGTGGATATTAAGTATTACTTAGCATGACAGTAACGCAGCCTTAATGAGCGTGACAGTAATGATGTTTGGTTGCAGTTGCGAGCTGCGGTTCCTGAAGGAGCGTTTTGCTGCGATCAGCCAGCGCTTCTACCTCACGCGCGGCCACAAGAAGATGCAGCCCAGCTCGGGGTGAGGCAGAGGCAGAGAGTGAGGCTGGGGGAAAGAGTGGGGTGAGGCGGGGCAGGGAGTGAGGCTGGGGGAAAGAAAGATAAGGAGTGATGCTGAGGGGTAGGCTCGGGGTGAGGCTGAGGAAAGCTCGGGGTGAGGCTGGGGTAAGGCTCAAAGCAAAGAATGAGGAAGGTTCTTGGTAAGGCTGTGGTTGAGGGTGGGGGCGAGGGTAGGAAATGAAAAGGGAGCACTGCACTGACACTGCTTCACATGTCACCCACTGTAACTGCTGTTTCTAGTTACTGGCTGTCACTGTAACTACCTTCCTGTAGATGCGTCCCCTCGCTTACCCTCTCTCAACACTCGTTCCCCTCACCCTCACCCCCACAGGATGAAGGAGATGAGGATGCACCTGCAGGACGTACTGGGGGGGCACGGCGCCCCCGAGGAGCTGCAGGGGGAGACGCTGCTGGCGGAGGAGGTGGCGCTGTCCATGCTGCACGACACCAAGACCGCCCTACTGCGCTGTGCCACGGTACATCTTTTGCCACGACACCTTTTGTTGTGCCACGGTACATCTTGTGTCACAGCACCCTTTGTTGTGCCACGACACCTTTTGTTGTGTCACGACACCTTTTGTTGTGTCATGGAACATCTTGTGCCACGGCACCTCTTGTGCCACTGTACATCTTGTGCCACGGCACCTTTTGTTGTACCACGGTACATCTTGTTGCGGCACGATACATCTTGTGGTGCCACGGCACCTTTTGTTGTGTCACGGTACATCTTGTTGTGCTACGACACCTTTTTTGTGCCACGGTACATCTTGTTGTGCTACGACACCTTTTGTTGTGCCACGGCACCTTTTGTTGTGCCACGGCACCTTTTGTTGTGCCACGGCACCTTTTGTTGTGTCACGGCATCTTTTGTTGTGCCGTTGCACATGGTGTTGCCGTTACAGCTGTGTAATGGTGTTGCTGTTACAGCTGTGTAATGGTGTTGCTGTTACAGCTGTGTAATTGTGTTGCTGTTACAGCTGTCGTCGAGTAACGCCCTTGCCAGCAACGCGGTGCAGATATATAACGTCTTGACCAGCGCTCTCATCAACGACTACGTCTGCTACGCCATCGGTGAGTACAACTGCACCAACAGATGTACACTGTGGATACAGCTGTACTCTGTCGATACAGCTGTACACTGAGCCTGCAGCTGTATACTGTGGATGCAGCTGTACAGTGTGTATGCAGCTGTACACTGTGGATGCATCTGTACACTGAGCCTGCAGCTGTACACTGTGGATGCAGCTGTACACTGAGCCTGCAGCTGTACACTGTGTGTGCAACTGAGCGTACAGCTGAGCCCTGTACATGCAGCTTTACACTGTACGTAAAACATTATACCGTACGCTTTACACCCTAATTAAAATATGAAACTTTAGTAGCATGACAGATAGAATTGCAATAATAATTTCTGAGCTAATAATTTATGTTTGCCTATGTCGAAATTTAAAGGTCTCTATGGGGTTCCGATATTATTGAATGAATTATATTTAATACTGCTGAATATGATAATAAATATATAATTATTCATGTGTCCGTGCAGACGTGGGTGTGGAAGGCATCCCCACGGGGGATGTGAAGAGCCCTCCCCACCTCACCTTCCTGACGGTGGTGCAACAGACGAGCTCCGTGCTGCACCTTCTGCACAAGCTTCTGCACGACAGCCTCCTGCCTCTCGTCATGTGAGCATAGCCGCCCCTCGTGTGAGCATAGCTGCCTCTCGTCATGTGAGCATAGCTGCCTCTCGTCATGTGAGCATAGCTGCTCCTCGTCATGTGAGCATAGCTGCCCTTCGTCATGTGAGCATAGCTGCCTCTCGTCATGTGAGCATAGCTGCCCCTCGTGTGAGCATGGCCGCCCCTCCTGCCCCGCGTCATGTTAGCATAGCCGCCCCTCCTGCCCCGCGTCATGTTAGCATAGCCGCCCCTCGTCATGTGAGCATACCAGCCCTTCTTAAAAACAAGTAGCAACTACCCCTTTTTCATGATGGGTGGTCCACCAGCTTTGTCTGTCCTTGGTACTCGTAGTACTCCGTGTCCTTTTTTCTGTAGGATACTCTTGAGGAAGTCGTGTTTTTATGCTCCCTTATTTTGCCCATCTCCTTGCTCTTCCGATCGCCTCCCGAGCCTTTTTCCTTAAGCCGCTAGCGTGCGTAAACAGCAACATTGTTGTCACTAATTTCCTTTGTGGCGCGAACTTCAGATGCCTCATTGACAGCTCGTATGTACAGCTAATCAGCTATAATTAATAATATAATATAGCGGTTTCAGCGTTTATTAGGCCGTAGGCCTGTCGCCGATTCCTAAAATTGCAGAACATCCACAGCTTGTTGCGGGCTTGAACTCGCAACTCAGTGCTTCAAATTTTCCTTGCTTAACCGTCCGGCCTCTTCGCCGATTCTGACCAGAAACTGACGCACAGAGCTGGGATCGAACCCGCACCTCTCTGCGGCAATCTTGCTACTCTGAACTGGAACCACTGGGCCCCCTTGCCCAGCTACGGTGTTCACGTGACGTTCCTTATGCACAGCTCGTCAGCGGAGCACAGCGGTGTGCTGCAGAGGAAGCGGCAGATGGTGGAGCGAGTACAGCAGCGGCTCTCAGCTGGTCTTGAGAAACTCATCACTGCCATCTGCCAACACGTACGCTACCTCCTGCACCAGCTGCAGCGACGCACAGACTTCAAGCCTGAACACGACAATCTTAGCGTCGCTGGTTAGTATTATGTTTACACGATAAACATCAATGCTGGCAAAGCAATCACATCTACCAGCTTCTCTACCATCCCAATTACTAATACAACCCTTTCTTTTTACTGCTGCTACTTTCTATTTGAAAATGACGTCATTTATAGTAGTTTACCGATAGTCTGGATAGAATGGTGACCTTTCCTTTAACTACTGCTACTATCTATTTGAAAATGACGTCATTTATAGTAGTTCACCGACACAGTCTGGATAGAATTGTGACATTCCCTCTAACTACTGCTACTATCTATTTGAAAATGACGTCATTTATACCTAGTAGTGGTGACCTTTCCTTTAACTACTGCTACTATTTTTTTGAAAATGACAGTCATTTATATTAGTTTACCGATACAGTCTGGATAGAATGGTGACCTTTCCTTTAACTACTGCTACTATCTACTTTAAAATGACGTCATTTATAGTAATTCACCGATACAGTCTGGATAGAATGGTGACCTTTCCTTTAACTACTGCTACTATTTGACAATGACGTCATTTATAGTAGTTCACCGACACAGGATATAATGGTGATGAGAAGTAAAGTATTTATGATGGTAATGTAAGTGCTCATGTTAGGCTGCACGGGGGCTTGCGTGGCAGGTGGTGTATTTATAATAATGAAAGAATGGTGGTTGACGTCAGTATAAAAACCTTATTTAAAAGTATTTATGATGGTAATGTGGTAATGTCAATGCTCTTCCTAGGCTGCACGGGGGCTTGCGTGGCGGTGGTGCGGTGGCTGACGACGGCGACGCAGGAGGTCGAGCGCTGCCTTGACGGCAACAACCTGGAGCTGTTCCGCCTCGAGCTCGGGACCCGCCTTCACCGCACCATACTGGACCACCTCCTCCGTCAGGAGTACAACACTGCAGGTGCTGTGCCTGAGGCACCTTGTTAACCTTACCGCGGAAACAAATTAGTTGGGCATCATCGTTTTTATCTTTTTTCTTTTGCATCGTTTTGAGTGATTCGTATAACCTATGCGAAAAATATCCAGCTTCATGGGTAACTTGCTGCTGGAAATGTTTAAAATTTCTTATCAACTCGAAACAGATTATAAATTTTTTATTCCGCTACTGAAGGACTTGGACCATACATTCTAAGCAAAGAAAACAGTTCAGTATTCGTATTTGCAACATTCCGTTATATTTGATGTGAACTTAAGTTCCACGAACAAAGTTGCAGTTTCTTTTACATCCACGGGGTGTGAGCAGGCGCGATGTGCGTGATCTGCGACGTGAACGAGTACCGTAAAGTGGTGCAGGCGTGGCGGTTGCCGCTGCTAACATCGCTCTTCGACACGCTGCACACGCTCTGCAAGCTCCTGCAGGTGTCGCCGCAGAACCTGCAGCTCGTCTGCTCCGGAGACCAGCTTGTGAGTGACACCCGCTGTGACTGTGCTAGTGGTTTGTGAGTAACACGTCGCCACGTCAGTGCCTGCAGCTCGTGAGTAACACGTCACCACGTCAGTGCCTGCAGCTCGTGAGTAACACGTCGCCACGTCAGTGCCTGCAGCTCGTGAGTAACACGTCGCCACGTCAGTGCCTGCAGCTCGTTAAAATATACTGTGAAAATTACGGTGCGTGTTGCTCATGCACAATATTCTTGCGGAGCTCATAAAGGTTCAAGTCTCGAATTAAAACAATCTCATTTCCAGGCTGGACTCGACAGAACCGTGCTGGCTAACTTCATCCAACTGCGCGCCGATTACAAAACCGCCAAACTTGGCGCGCACTTCAAGTGAGGCGACAACGAGCGGCCGTCTTCTGTGTCGTGTAGACCGACGGTCACCGCGTCGAGGCCAGATGTAGAAGACGACCATTGATGAATGAAATATATCTTCATAAGTATGATCAAAGTGCTTATCTGGAGGTGTTGATGAAATTTGGTATGTACAGTCCAAAGTGAATTTTATTTATTTATACTATTACAGTTCATAATTTTTGAGTTATATATTGTATTTTACAAACTATTATTAAAATTTACTCATATGATCATATCGACCGTCTTATTTTACCTAACGTTGTTGTATAATTAAAGATCAAAGACTTCGTTACAACATTTACTCTGATATTTAGTCAAACTATATACATCTCTGCTACAACCGACGCCTGGTGTTAACTTCACCCCTGCTCCTTTTCGAAGATTACGATTTACTGATCAAAGTTCCTCCTGTGAAGAAACTCATCTCTTCTCGAACATCTGTATACATCCACAGAAATTAAGATCGCGTTGGAGGGACCCATGCCTGGATCTTAGGCTTGCCAGTGGTGTAGGGGATGTAGGCTTTGTTGGTGCCCGTGGGGTTGGGGGACGGCGTGGTGTCGATGTAGCTGTACTGCACATGTTCTTTCTGCACACACATTAAGCAATTATCTTATTTGGCTTTGTTAGAGATACGAATAGTAAACTGAGCAGAGGGTGTTGAAAGCAGACTTACACAGGTGATGTTTCTTTTAAATTGCAATGAATTTCAAGAAGTCGATGGACAGACATCGGCATTCTCAATTAATTCCACACAGCATTTGTTCCTTTCTGCTCGCATTGCGCTCAATTTATTCAAGCGTGGTCAGCAAATAGGGTACAATGGCCTCTGTAGTTAGGGAAAATCTTTGCTGCCCAAGACAAGTTTAACTTCAACTGAACCAGTGTCAGGGATATAACACTCTTGTTATTTTACAGTTGCCCTTAAACATATTTAAAGCTAATAATTGTTGATATTACAGTGATAGGAGACAGGCCTTCTTGAACCTTACCTGGGTAGGCGGTATGTCAGTCTTGTAATGCAGCCAACCAAACCAAGCGGGAGACACTGCACTCCCATCAAAATCAGTGCCAAGCGATGGGCTGTAGATAACCCAGCGGTTGCGACCTGTCAAATCAAGCTAGTTAGTCATTTCGAGCGAAGAAACTTGAAACGAAAAGCTGAAATTTAGCAAAAAGAAGATAAAAGTTGCAGCATTTATGGCACAGATTTATTATTTTTGCACTTTCACCTCCTGTTGCAGCAAGATGTTGGTGAATTTGTCAAGGATCTAGGTGCATTTTGCCAACTATCTTGCATAAAGTTGTACAGGGTGGGGCAGAACCGATTGAACAGTCTTAAGGCAAAATGAAAGAGTAATGGAGGTACATAAAGAAGAAAGTTTATTTTCCTCGAGGTTAGCGTAACATAGGTACCGTTTAGAATACTTATGTTTTGAAAATAATATCAGGGAGATGGTGGCCGTTAGCTGCAACACACTGTTGGAGTCGTTCTCGGAAGTTTCCTACAGCACGTTCACACATATATAGTCAGATGGGGTAAGACAGGACCAAAATCACTAACAAGCCTGTAGCATCTATACCATGGAAAGCTAAAAAACCCTAAACCTATCATAAGGTGTAGTTATGCAATGGGCTTCTAACCTACAACTCAGACATTTTGCATCTAACATAGTTTTCTGTACAGATTAAAAAAAGTGTCCCATCTTACCCCATTGGGGTAAGATGGGACCAGGCTGGGGTAAGAAAGGACCAACTGGTAATTCTTATGTTACACGGTTTTTAATAAAAGTACAAACCTGATATTCAATATTATCCATCTAGAACACATTATTTGATTAAACAACCACTTGTTACTGTTTTGTGTTGCGGGAAGTCAACTCTAATATCAGTCATATTGGAGTTTTTGTCACGAGAAAACTTTGTTAAGCATAATAATAGTGGGATGGCTTTGGTTCATTGTAGAGCACTGCTAAATGCTTCATGCATATTCCATTAGCGTCATTGTCTGAAAAATTTATCAAATTGGTAATAAAACCAATGGATAATAACTCAAGTGTCAGACATCATGTGTTTTCTTGCTAACTGCATTTGTGGTGCACTTCTTCAAACATAGCTCATGCCCTCTCACAGAGTTGTGATCATAATTATTTTTCATGTTTCACACAATGATTTTTTCCCCAGCCAATCTTGCACTAGTTCTGCAGCTCACTAATGGGAAGTGACATCCCTATTTTCTCCATCCCTTTAATGCAATTTAAAATGGTGCACTAAATTTCTCTAATTAAAAAAGCTAACAAGTTATAATGAAGTTTGAGCCAAAGATAAAAATTTTGACCAAATTACTCCATGTACTGACTGCACAATAATATATTCATTTAAAAACTAGTTTTGATAAACTGAAGGGTAAGAGAGGACCATTTGTGGGGTAAGACAAGACAATTTGTGGGGTAAGATAGGACCACATGTGGGGTTAAATAGGATCATTTAGTGGTCCCGTCTTACCCCATGTCCGGTCCTTTTTTACCCCATTTTAGAATACATGTCAGGCAGTGATGGTAGCAGGTAGGAATGCCTAGTATGTCTCAAAAGCTGCTTATTACTTGAGGTTACCTGCCTACATCCACAAACCAGGCCAAAAAATTTTTTGTCATTAGACAGAGCTTATTTCCCAAACAGGGTTAACTATTTTGTGACCCTCCTTTACATAGGTTTTCTTTAAAAATTAGCCAGAAATTCATTATTTGCAGAAGAGGGTTGCCACAAACACTGAAATGACAGGCAATGATTGTACTAACATATTCTTTTGTCAAATTAAATTCAGTGCAGTTAGAATGCATGCCATGGGCCGGTCCTTTCTTACCCCATGATGGCTGCGATCCTGTCTTACCCCATTTGACTATATGGCGAGGTATGGCCATAACCTCTGCAATAATCCGTACCCTCAGCTGTGGTAGGGTGTGAGGGCGATTTCTGAACGCTTTTTCTTTTAGATGTCCCCAAATCAGGTGACCTTGCACTGCAGGCCACTGTAAATCACCCCTCAGAGACACCAGACATCCGGAAAACATGCGTCTCAGAACATTGAGTGACATTTGGGCTGTGTGAGCTGTAGCCCCATCCTGCTGGAACCACACGTCTCCCAGTGCTTCATTTTTCAACAATGTTTTTCATCCTGGACTGCAATAAATTTGGCAACATTGCAGCATAGCATTCAGAATTCACTGTCATGGTTACTTCCTCCTCTGATAACAACTCCAACTGTGTGTTGCAGCTAATGGCCACCATCTTCCTGATATTGTTTTCAAAACCTAAGTATTCTAAATGGTATGTTATGCTAACCTCGAGGAAAATAAACTTTCTTCTTTATGTACCTCCATTACATTTTATTTTGCCTCAAAACTGTTCAATCAGTTCTGCCCCACCCTGTATATTCACATGATTATTGTCTATTAATTTCCTCTAGTCAACATTGAGGAGATGGTTGACTGTGTAACAACCATATACATACAGGTATGTTCCTCTATTGGGCAAATCAAGCTTTTTGTTTTTAAATCAGGCTTTAAATTTTTCCTACTAGAAAGAAAATTGTATACTTCTCCAGAAAGTGAATTACATTGGTTTGACCAGCACAACCTTGAGCCACAGACTTGGATGCGATCTGCAAACCGGAGGACCAAAGAATCATATGCGGGAGGCCCACAATGAGACCATCATCTGTGCCACGTCAGAAACCAGCATCAACATCACCATCACCATGAGGTGCTCCAATGGCCAATGCAACAAGACATTATCAAGGACGATTCTCCTGCTATCAATTTGCAAACCACCGGATTTGTCAGGACGTAGGAATTGTTCTTGGAATAGTTTCAGTTCCGATTTTGAACCGCATCTAAGATATCCTTTGTATGTACTTATGTCATTCCCATTTTTATTTTGTTAGCATTATAAATAGGTATCTCTTCACGTACTTGAATATTGCATATTCAAAACATTGTAAATTATAATTAAATGTCTCTCCGAAACCTTATATTTTAACTTTCCAATCATACAAAAAGCCTGATTTGTCAAATAGAGAGAAGCAATGACGTATATAATCATCAATAAAATATACTCTCTGGTCTTTAATGTAATCTGTATGAAAGAACAGCTTCTGCCTAACTACCTACACTAATATATACGTACATACTATATGTATGCAAGTCTCCTAAGAAAAATTACCAGAACCATACACATCAATGAAGTACGCGCATATCGTTTGTGAGGCAAACATTTTCATTTTTTCTGGATAAAACCAGGTGAGTGAATGTAATATTAAATTTAAGAGAAAAATTTCTTTGTGCATGCATACATGAATCATCAGTCATTTTATATATTTCAACAATTTTCATGATAATTGCAAACTTACCAAGGAAGTATTCATTATTTTCATAATATTTATTGCCAAGCTTGTCAGTTCCCACAAGAGTTCCACTCTTCAAGTCATTCTGCCTGAAGAAAAAATAACATAAGTATAAAAACTCTGCTCTGGGCATGTAAAGTTGATATTTTTCATGCCTGTCTTAGTGGCATATGAACATCAAGAGATATGGCTAGCAATATATTTTCATTTATTGAATGGATCAAAATGCTGTAAAATACCGATATTGAATGATAAAAACAGACTGAAATTCTATGTTAGCATGAAATTACATACAATCAAAAATATCATTCAGAGATCTTAAGTCATTCTTTATACCTTATAGTAAAGAAGATGTAAAAAAATGAAAATATTGTGCAAAAATTATATCTTATCATAAGAAAGTAGGTATTTTAAATGTGCCGGTATTATTGAATCTTATACGGGAAGACAATGAACTTAGCACTTGTCATTAATCACCCTGCATACCTTAAATTTGATCAGTTTCTTTGTACCTGCCAGTGACTGCACAATTTAATGTGCATATGCAGTTCCCCCACCCATGTAAGTAGCAGACTGCAATAGATATCACTTATGCATTGTGGAAATTTATTTTACATCTTTGATATATTAGGCATCACTCTACTAGAGTCTCTAGTATGAGTTGAATTTGATCATGATAAACATTGTAATGCTCATTTGTAAATGTTTATTTTTCATTGTAGTGTGGCAACTTTAGTGAGGTGGTGACTTAAGTATTATTGACAGTATATTAATGGTGGTTTACATTCTTCAAAGGTGGTCATCTGGTGCCTGGTGGTTTCTGCCCAATTTACTCTTGACTTTTATACTGGCATTTTTTTTTTAAATTCAGTCATATAGTATTCCAAATTAAATCTACAATTGAAAAAAATGCTCATGATGACATAATGAGTCATTCTAAGAAAAATTGCATATTTACCTTGCAATTTTTGAAAATCAGCAATGTCAAATCATTTTTACCAATTAGCCTAAAATTGGAAATTTTCATCTAATACGGTAATTCAGATTGGGATGTATTCGTTTTGCTGAATATAGCCTGACAGCTGATTATGGATTAGAGTTTTTCTACTTGTTTCTGAAATTTGGCAGTTACAACATGACCAATTTTCAATACTTGAAATCTTGCAGGCAGGAATCAGGATTAGAATTTTCCTACTTGTTTCTAAAATTTCGCGGCTTCAACACAACAAATTTTTGATACATTTGGAATCTTGCGGCCCGATCGTGCATTTTTGTTAACAATTATAAAAGAGGTAATTCATCTGGCACCACTATGCAGAGGGTGGATGCAGCGTCGGCAATATATGGATTTTTAAGCCCAAAGCGTCGCCGGCCATTTTAAAGATGCGTCGCCGGGTAATTTTTAATGAAAAGCCATTTACGCTGAGTAATGACGAACTATTTACAAGCCACGAACTTATTACAATCAAAAAAATGTTGTTTACATTTTTTGCGGGAACTCATCGCAACTGATTTCCGGACAAGCTTCGCTGCATCATAATCCATCCAACGTACCGGAAAGTGGCGGAAACCTTACTTTTTTTCTAAATAGTTGGCTGAAGACTGAGAAATATATTAAATGCAAGAATTTCAATCTAAATGTGTCGGCAAGATCTTCTGAAGGCGAAAATTTTGCTGATAATGCGTCGCCGTAGGTCTTTAAATCTTCGTTCACTCTCTGCACAGTGGATCTGGCAGAAATCTTGCAGTTCCAGAAATGGTTTGAAAGCTCTAGTCACGGCTCTATGGTTGGAAGTTTTCCATGCTTGCTTGCAGCCTAATTATGCACATTTGCTAACAATTAGATAAAAGGCAATTTATTTAGCAGAAATCTTGTACTACCAAAGTCTAAACATAGTGGGAGAGTTTTAGTTGTGACTTGTGACTATAGCCTATAGGCTAAGGGTAGAGGGTAGTTGGTAGGCTAGATCATTCATAGTGGCAAAGCAGAGAGTTTTTTAGACTCTCCCTCAAGTTCATTTTTGAGTCCTATAAGTAGACCCATGAAGTATCCTGGATACCAGCATTATCATACATAAGAAATTAGCTTAAATCTTGGATATATGAGGAAGTTAAAAATGAACTGATTTTAAAAAATCTCTGGTTTGTCACTATGAAACCTAGATGTTTTCCATCATTCCATGTTACAATGGAAAAGTTATAGTTGTACCTAGCCACAGACTCAGTAGCCTAGCCTGATAGGTGATAGGCCTAGGCCTAGCTGATCGGCCTGATCCCAATATTTTTCTTTTCCTCTTGGCTCTTGCAATATAAAATCAGTCCAATAGAAAAGTCAGACCTTTAAAAAGCCAAAATTTCACTAAATTGATAGTCTACTTGTCAGTAAAGCTCAGTTAGCTCACACAACTAGAAGAGACATTTAGGTATGTCGATGTGATACTGATTACTGACTACCGAGACTGCTGACACAGTGACACTGACTGTGGAGTCTGTGGTTTAAACTGGAAAGTTAAAACGAACAAATTAGGTATTACTGTCTATTGTCTAAGCCAGTAGTCCAAAAGGCCAACGCACAAATTAGGGTCACAAAAAGTAAAAACTAACCTGTAAAGTTTATACAGTGATTGGCGAAATCCACCATTTTCTTTTATTAAGTTAAAAAATCTAGATACTCTATCTAATCCAAAGAAAGCCATTCTCAATTTTGTGTTTATAAGGTGAAGTCTGAACTGCGGATTGAGCGTTCAGCCGTCAAGAAATCTGGATAAGTGAGCCCAGAGAGCACGAACAAATGTCATAGTATCTTCACGTGGGATGGACAATATTAGAAGTGCACAGAACAAAACCGCTTGGACATTTTTCTTGAAAACAAAGCTCACTAAAAAATCTTGATAATGCTCGCAGTAACCAATTATGAATAAGAAAGTTTGTGATGTATTAGGAAATGATCAGTTTCGATTTGACAAAGTTATGCGTGGTAGAAGTGCTTGCCCAATTGCAACTGGCTGAATGTTATTTATTTAGACTTTTATTAAAACCACAAAATATTCAATCGATCAGTATATTGAATAATTAAAACATGTATTAAATTAAATTTATTCACAGGGCTTTAGGGACACATCGTCACTTTAGGAACGAATTTTTATTTCATAGTAGGTATCTCATGAAAAAGTTTGTAAAATAGAAACCGATTAGTACCATATTAGAAAAAGGATATATTTATTGATATTGCGCTCACGATAGCATAGATTTTTTGACCGTCTCATTTTTATTTAACAAGCTAAGGGCAAACTTTTAGCAGATTTTACACGCATAAATTTTCCAAATCGAAACAGATCTTGACTTGGAATTGGGGTGCGTGGTGACCTCCGGTCACGATCTTTAATTCGGTCATACACGCTGCATAAAAGCTCTTTTACTAGCGTCAAAAAATTAAAAGTTCACACTCGTGTGTTAAGAGAAGGTTCAATTACAACGTAATCACAGCAATACCAAGAAAAAAAGCTTAACAATTTCGTTTTGCTACATCCTAAAAAAGCAACAAACAACGTACTAAAACAATTCGGCACGGTCACATTTGTCTTCCCACCCTCGCCTTTCTCAACCCTCCATTCCTCAAGACCCTACTCTTATTATCCTCCTCCTCTCCCTCATCCTCCACACGTTTTCCAAATATCTCTTCACACTCACAAACATAGACGCAGTTGTTCCCTCAGCCAAACCCGTAATTATTGCCATCCACAGCTATCCACAGTCCAGCAGCTATCTCAATCAATCGTCAGCTATGGAAAGATCGGGTTCCAAAGGCCGGATCCCTTGTGAATCAAGTCACGAAAAGTTCAAGAATCGGCAACAGGCCATGGGCCTATTTCTTCAGCGCCGACACTTCTATTCTATTCTATTCTATTCACTCTTCGCTTGTTCTCTCATACCCCACTTCGTTAATCTCACCTCTCTCATTCAGAATCACCTCTATCATAGACAGACGCTCTCTCTCTCTCTCTCATACGCCCCACATTCCATCAACAAGTGCTCCACAATTTCCTTCTCATTCCCATGACATATAAAACTTTTATCGTCCCTCCTTTCTTTCCACCTGTATGCACGTCCATTCACACATAGCGCCCCTGCCCTAACACAAAACAAAAGGTCTCCACCTCTATTACCATCATACATGCATTCATATTTTGGCATCGCTTTCATCTGATACAGTCTTAGAGTGTCCTTTCCCTCCATTCCTTGCTTCCACACCTTCAGCCCATAGTCTTTCACTCGCTTATTTATTTCTCTTTTCCACTCTGTTTCATCCCACTCTATCCCAATCGCACCCCGCACGGTCACCACCCATTCGTCCTTTGGCCCAGCGGGCCTTTGGCGCACCCATGCTTCATGCATACCACACTTACGCACCACACACTGCCCGACATCTACGTGCCCATTTGTTCACCTTCATGTTCCACATATACATCTTTCGTGCCCAACGTTCATCGTCCATTCGCTCCAGTCTCACTTTATATCTCAATACTGCTCTCATTCGTCTTTCCTTGAAGGTACTCCATCCCATGTCTCCTCTCAGGGTTTCTACCGCAGTCCACCTGGGGGCTCTTAGTGCCAATCTCGCCACTCTATTCTGAAAAATTCAAATTTATCTTGCTCACCATCACTATATGCCATCACATCTAATCCATACATAATACTAGGCACTGCCACACTCTTCCACACTTCCCTCAATACTTCATACTTACACTCCTTCATACACTCCTGCGGGCGTTGTCATGTACTACCCAAAACGCGAAGATTCGGACCCTTCGTGCGCCCAACTGACTTGGCGTTTAGGGTGTCGGGACTGAAAACCCTAACTTGCTGTTAGGGTATTCACGTATTGTGAATAAATACTTTCAATTTCAATTAGTTCGAAATCGGTTTTAATTTGAAAAAGTTCTGGGGCTGGACAATGTGCTGCGAAAATATATCACTAAAATGGGTTACTTATATTTTTTCAAATTAGTCCAAGCGGTTTTTCAAGTAGTGCGTTAATTTTCAAATCCACCCAGAATTCTTCCAGTTAGCAACAAAGTATTTTATTAAAATACGCTCCAGTTTTCTAATTCTATTTTTTTTTATTCTGTTTCAATGCAGCTCGTTAAGTTTTAGCACCCTTTGCAAGTAAAATTTTCTCAGTTCTGAAAGATTTTCTTTTAATCGAGAACGAATATTTTGATCCGAAATACACTCTTGCGTGCAGTGTTAGAATTATTATTTTATTTATGGTGGTATCTTATACCTATAAACGACAGTCTCGTCTCTAGGCTGTTCTGTACCATCTCATCATTTTCTTTTAATCGAGAACGAATATTTTGATCCGAAATACACTCTTGCGTGCAGTGTCAGAATTATTATTTTATTTATGGTGGTATCTTATACCTATAAACGACAGTCTCGTCTTTAGGCTGTTCTGTACCATCTCTCTTTCCTGAAAATACCTCTGCTTACTTCTCCTTTTCCAACATTAAATGGTACGCATCGTCTTCGGAATCCGTCCGTCTCGAGAGACGATGGGGTAGCTATCGGTCCCGCCTGCATCGCCGAGAGTGGCTGTACAGACCGATCCCGGAGTGACAATCCAATTCACAGCCATCACAAGTGAAGGCAGATGGCTGACGCGGATGCGTCGACCGCTGCTTCCGTCTGAACCTCCTCTGAGAGTCACCACGGCGGCGCTCGACCTCAGCGCAGGATACGGCCAGCCCGACAGCGAGTCTCCAGCCCTGGCGGTCAGCTGCTTGGGTCTCCAACGAGGATGGGTCAAGGTGGCACCACTTCAAATCCCTCATGCAGATGTCCTTGAGGCGTAGTTTCGGGTATTCCGTTTTCCGTCCGCCCTCCACGAGCTCGCCGTAGAGGATGTCCTTGGGTATGCGTCCCGCTACCATCCTACTGACATGCCCCAGTCACTTGAGACGTCTCTCGCTGAGAACTGAGAGCAGACTGATCATATTTGATCCCTCTAGTACCACTGAATTGGGTACTCTGTGTTGCCACTTGATCTGCAGTATGCGCCGTAGACATCTCATGTGGAAGCCCTTGAGTTTCCTTTCGTTCCCCGCGTAAGTGGTCCAAGTCTCGCAACCATTCAGAAGAGTGCTGAGGGCGTAAGCCTTGTAGACGCACAGCTTAGTCTTCACGATGAGGCTCAAGTTGTTCCAAACACGCTGGGTCAATTTGGCCATGACTGTGGCGGCCCTGGCAATCCTGCTATTAATCTCGGAGTCGATGGACAGAGAACTGGAGATGCTGGACCCGAGACAGGTAAAGTTCTCGACGACCTCAAGGGTGTAACCATCCAGAACAATGCTCGGGAGAGTCCCAGTGCTCTGGCACAATAACTTAGTCTTTCCCCGGCTGATGGTCAGGCCAAACTCCGTGCAGGCATAAGCAAAGTGGGTGAAAAGCTGCTGGAGTCCTCCCTCGGTATGCGATGCCAAGGCTGTATCGTCGGCGAAGAGCAGCTCGCGGATTAGGACTCTGGTGACCTTGGTTTAAGCCCGAAGACGGGCTATATTGAAGAGTTTGCCATCGTGTCTGGTGTGTATGTAAACGCCCTCGTTACATTCCGCGAAGGCGTACCGTAGTAGCATAGAGAAGAAGATACCAAAAAAGCGTGGGCGCGAGCTCGAAGCCCTGCTTCACTCGTCTGATGACTGGAAAAGCTCCTGAGGTCACACCATTGAAGTGAGTAAGCGCGGAGGGCAGCCGATCCTCTTCAACAAGCGGAAAAGTCCGTCCCGACTTACCAGGTCGACAGCTTTCGTTAGGTCAATAAATACGACGTGGAGAGGCATCTGCTGCTCATGGAACTTCTCCTGCAGCTGACGCAGGGAGAAAATCATGTCCACCGTCGATCGACCAGGCCTGAATCCACATTGGAATTCGGGATAGACGCGAGCGTCGAGGAGCTGCAAGCGAGAGAGAGCGACCCGGGTGAACACCTTGCCAACAACGCTGAGGAGGGAGATTCCCCGGTAGTTGTTACAGTCACTTCTATCTCCCTTATTCTTGTACAGAGTGACGATCTTTGCATCTCGCATGTCCTGAGGGGTGTAACCCTGCTCCCAGCAAAGGCGAAGTAGCTCGTGGAGTGTCTGGAAAAGAACTGGTTTGCCGCTTTTCATGATTACTGGAGGTATTCTGTCGCTCCCAGGTGCTTTGCCGCTGGCGAGGCAGTCCATGGCTATACTTGGCTCTTTCAAAGCAGGAGAGGCATCCAACTCCCTCATAATCGACAGGCCAGGGATTGAGTCAAGAGCAGTGGCAGTTACTGTATTCAACTTTGCGTACAGCTCAAGGTAGTGCTTGGTCCAGTGCCACATTGCCCCTCCCGATCTGCTAGGACTTCCCCGGTTTTGGACTTGAGTGGAGCGGTCTTGGACGGGGTTGGTCCTGTGGCCCTCTTTATACATTCGTATACCTTCGTACATCCCCCCCAGAGGTTCCACCAGTACGTGTTGGCGCAACGTCGAGCTGTCTGCTGGGCTTCACCCCTGGCGGCCCGGAGGGCATGCAGCGTGCCGGGTGTGGGGTATACCTTGTGGGCCAGTAAGGCTTGTTTTTTCTTCTCCGTTACGGCATCATTTCCCCCCAGTGAGCTTCAAACCAGTCCGTGCTCCTCCGTATTTTTTTCCCGTAGAAGTTAATGGCGCAGTCGCACATGGCGTCGCGAAGGCGTGACCATCTGCAGTCAATGTCATCGCCCTGCGGTGCATCCTCACCAAGAGCAGGTCCCAGGCTGCTGACGAACTGCCAGGTCTTCACGGAGTCGCGGGTGCAGCTGGTATCTATATGAGGGTGTCCCATACCTTTTGAGTGATGCAGTCTGTCGCGTCGCGCGAGTTAAACTTGGTATTGTAGTTTAGGTTTTACAGCGCTCTGCCTTCTCTCGGAACCATCCGCCTAGCTCTACTTCCGCTTGGTAGCGTGCGGCGTCTCATAAGTCATAACTCTCATTTAGTGGTGACGCGCTCCTGCGCAAGCTCGAGACGAGATATGTAGCTGATTCATTGCCTAGGAATCCATTTCATTCATTGTCCATATCATGTATTTGTTTCACTGTGTCTCGTGTTAGTGTTTATTTGAGCTTGATAAACCTGGTATGCCCATTGTGAAATGCAATAGTAGTTTTTTTGGACTTCTCTTTGTTTTAGTACTTATTGTCTGCCACTATCGTATAACCGATTCTCCATCTTCTTTCTGTCCAGACGTGCGTAAACTTTATGTTGTTTCAATGTAACAGTCAATTTTTAGCGACCAATCGAACTGATAAATAGGATCGACGTGCCACATCTCGTGAGTGTGATGCTTGTTTTGTTTTCTACACTATTGCACTCACTCTTGCTGGTCTTGCATTATTTACACATAGATGAAATATTTAGATTTTTGCCACCCTAAATTTGTGAGTATTCGCAACGTTCAGTACGTAGCCATCGATCATGTACAACGAGTTTAATGGCATTTCGTTACCTTTCAGTGAGATTTAAAGTTTATGTTTTTTTTTCGAGTATTACATCTGCTCTATTGTGTGCAGATTTACGGTCGAACTTTCCGGCAGTAAACCTGGACTGAGGGCCACCCTCTGGGCAGGGGGGCCCAGTGGTTAAAGTTCAGAGTACCAAGATTGGCGCACTAGAGAGGCGCGGGTTCGATCTCAGCTCTATGCGTCAGTTTCTGGTCAGAATCGGCAAGGAGGCCGGGCGGTTAAGCACAGCAGAATTGTAGCAGTGAGTTGCGAGTTCGAGACCGCAAAATGCTGCGAATGTTCTGCGATGTTAAGAATCGGCGACAGGCCTACGGCCAAATAACGCTGAAACCGCTATTATTTTATTTTCAAGAATTTCTTACTGTCCTTGGGTTCACCGTTACTTGGCTGAAAGGAGAAGATTTCAGTAGCCTTTAATTCAGTCCAAGACACAGTCTCTTTGGCGTCAAGCGCACCCTGCTGGCCACGAGGGCGTGATCCGTATCGCAGTCCGCGCTCTGAAAACTGCGGGCTTGGAGAACGTTTCTAATCACCGCTCTTCTGGTGATAACGAGGTCAAGCTGATGCCAAAGGCAAGACCGCGGGTGTTTCCAAGACACCTGGTGGGTTTCCTTGTATTGGAAGAATGTGTTTGTCAAATTGTCACACATAGGCCATGATGACAGGAGCTCCAGCAGGCGTTGAATGTTCTCATTTAACTTCCCCCTACCGAATCTCCCGAGGCAGGTGGGCACTGGGCCATGGCTCATAGTCGGCTCCTATACTCTCGCGTTGAAGTTACCAAGGAGATATAGTCCGCTGGTTTTCGGAATCCTGAAAATTGCCTCGTCTAGTGCTTGATAGAATTGATATTATTCTTCATGTGAGGAGTAAAGCGTTAGGGCGCTGAGTATGCTGACTGCTCCAGAGCACGTTTGCAGCAGTAGCGTAAGTATGTAGACTCTCAGAGCCCGCCACTGTAGGCTCCGTGGAGCTGACCAGTTCGTTTCTTACTGCAAAGCCAACACCCCGCAACCTTGGCTCGTCCGGAGACAACCCACGCCAATGGAAGGTGTAGTTTGCTTCTCTGATGGAGCCGCTGTCGTCCAGTCGGGTCTCCTGGAGAGCGGCGATATCAACTTTTAGTCTCGCGAGCTCTCTATCGATGACGGCGGTCTTCCTCGCTTCGTCTAACTGTGCAAGGTCCCCAGTGGTCCTAGGGCACATGGTCCTGAAATTCCAGCTTGCGAATCGACTGAGGAAGTGGCTTTTTTTCTCATTTTGGAGTTAGCTGGTGGCCTGAGAAGGGCGCCCTATGTACCACCACCAACCGAGGAGAACGAGTTGACGAGCGAGAGAACGAGTCGACGAGCGAGAGAACGAGTCGACGAGCGAGAGAACGAGTCGACGAGCGAGAGAACGAGTCGACGAGCGAGAGAACGAGTCGACGAGCGAGAGAACGAGT